CCTCCCGCCCTCTGTACCCCTCTCGCCTGCCTGCACCTGCCTGCTTGCATCCCTCTTGGGGGCCACGACGTGTGAAACTGTCGCCACTTTCGAGGGTTGCTGAGGGGGACAGCATAGTGGGTGCCGACGGCACATCCAAATTAGACCTCGACACCCGAGGGGGCTACGATCTGCGAACTTGTCGCTACTTTTGAGGGCTGCTGGGGGGCCAGCATAGTGGTTGCCGACGGCATATTCAAATTAGACCTCGACACTCGTGGGGGCAGCGAAGTGTGAAACTGGCGCCACTTCGAATGGCTGCTGGAGGGTCCAGCATAATGGGTGCCGACGGCAGATTCAAATTCGACCTCGACGTGCTTTGGGGGCTGCGAAGTGTGAAAATGTCGCTACTTTCATGGGCTGCTGGGGGGCCACCATAGTGGGTGCCGACGGCAAATTCAAATTAGACCTCTGGGCTGCGAAGTGTGAAACTGTCGCCACTTTTGAGGGCTGCTTAATCGGCGCCGACGGCATATTCAAACTAGACCTAGACATTCTCTGGGGGGGGAGGGGGATTTGCGATTTGCGAAATTGTCGCCACTTTCGAGAGCTGCTGGGGGAAACAACATGGTGGGTGTCGACGGCCGATTCAAATTAGACCTCGTGTTTCCTGGGGGGCTGCGATCTGCGAAATTGTCGCCGCTTTTGAGGGCTGCTTGGGGGGACGGGCTGGTCATTTCGCACGCCGAGGTCCTCGCGTCCACGGCTTGCCAGGGGCGGCTCGTGCGCAGCGAAGTCATCGTCGACGCCGGTTGCACTGACGCGGACAATGTGGAGGCACTCGTGCTGCACCTCCACTTGACGCTCTCGAGAGCGACCACGTTGGACAACCTGCTGATGGTACGCGACCCTGGGCTTGATTTCCTTTCCCACGGCCCGCCCGCACACCTGGCGGCGCGCCTACGCGCGTTTGGCTCGGCGTCGCTCGGACGTGTGCGTTTTTTCTCGGCGAAAACCACCGAGGACCATCCTGGACCATCGAGCAACAAAAACACGCACGAAACTGACAAATGCGCGGGCAATGGACGTCCGAGCGACGGCAAGTTGGTGCTCGCATTAAGAAGTGCAGGGGGAAGCGGAGAAGCTGGCGGGCGAGCTTGGCCTTGACCGCTTCTTACACCAACGGCGGGAGTTTTTTTGATTTAGCGAGGCGCCGCAGGACCGCGGAACGCCGGCCGCGCAGGTGTTGATGATTTCGGCCAGGGAAGAGGCGATGCTTCATCGTCTGGTTGCGTCTCCGCCTACGTAATCTTATCTTGCCCGTGCTCCATGTCGCTGCTTCTGCGGAGGTGATTGTTCTTCCGCCCCAATGTCCTCCTTGTTCTTCTCCTTCCCAGTGCGCTGCCTCCTGGCCATTTGTACCTCCGTTTTGCGTTGCTTGTCGGCCACGCGCACTTCGCACGATATAGCTACCGTCCGTGCAACCGTTCTTTGTTGCGTTCTGTCACACTAGTGTCGGAGCGCCTTATATCTTCCTTAGGTTCCGATGGGTTGGGCTCGTCGCCGGGTAATTTTGCAACGGATGGTGTGGGGGGGTGTCGGTATGAAACACAGTAAGCAATGCTCCGGCACCCCCGCCGTCCCTGTCAAAGACAATTGCGAGGTGATCGCGAGGCGTCCGCGCATGATTCATATTTAGGTAAACGAGTGCAAATCGCATGTTTTTTCCCCAACCAACCTGTGTTGTTGGGTCCTCGTTTTGAAGAGACGGTCCCCGCGTTTCCTCCTCCTCCTCCTCCTCCTCCTTCTCCTCCTCCCTCTTCTCCTCCTCTCACGCTTCGTGGCCCCATAGGGAGGTCCACCTAAGGCCCCAGTGGTGTGTACCACATGCGTCTCCCCCACCCAGTACAGCGTGTCGTGGCCCTATAGGGAGGTCCACCTAAGGCCCCAGTGGTGTGTACCACATGCGTCTCCCCCACCCAGTACAGCGTTTCGTGGCCCCATATGGAGGTCCACCTAAGGCCCCAGTAGTATAGTGTTTCGTGGCCCCATGTGGGGCTGTGTGAAAAGGTGTAGTGGCGGAGTCCGCATACGTCTCCCTCACCCAGCACAGCGTTTCGTGGCCCCATACGGAGCCCCACCGAAGGTCCCCGTGGCGCAGTCCGCATGCGTCTCCCCCGCCCAGTACAGCCTTTCGTGGCCCCATATGCAGCCCCACTGAAGGTCCCCGTGGCGCAGTCCGCATGCGTCTCCCTCACCCAGTACAGCGTTTCGTGGCCCCATATGCAGCCCCACTGAAGGACCCCGTAGCGCAGTCCGCATGCGGGTCCCCCACCCAGTACAGCGTTTCGTGGCCCCATAGGGGCTACGCCGAAGGTCCCCGTGGCGCAGTCCGCATGCGTCTCCCCCACCCAGTACAGCGTTTCGTGGCCCCATATGGGAGCCCCACCGAAGGTCCCCGTGGCGCAGTCCGCATGCGTCTCCCCCACCCAGTACAACGTTTCGTGGCCCCATAGGGGCTCCGCCGAAGGTCCCCGTGGCGCAGTCCGCATGCGTCCCCCTCACCCAGTCCAGCGCTTCGTGGCCCCAGCCCCACCGAAGGTCCCCGTGGCGCAGTCGGCATGCGTCTCCCCCACCCAGTACAGCTTTTCGTGGCCCCATATGGAGCCCCACCGAAGGTCCCCGTGGCGCAGTCCGCATGCGGCTCCCCCACCCAGTACAGCGTTTCGTGGCCCCATAGGGGCTACGCCGAAGGTCCCCGTGGCGCAGTCCGCATGCGTCTCCCCCACCCAGTACAGCGTTTCGTGGCCCCATTTGGGAGTCCCACCGAAGGTCCCCGTGGCGCAGTCCGCATGCGTCTCCCCCACCCAGTACAGCGTTTCGTGGCCCCATAGGGGCTACGCCGAAGGTCCCCGTGGCGCAGTCCGCATGCGTCTCCCCCACCCAGTACAGCGTTTCGTGACCCCATACGGAGCCCCAGTGAAGGTCTCCGTGGCGCAGTCCGCATGCGTCTCCCCCACCCAGTACAGCGTTTCGTGGCCCCATAGGGACTCCGCCAAACGTCCCCGTGGCGCAGTCCGCATGCGGTTCCCCCGCCCAGTACAGCGTGTCGTGGCCCCATATGGGGGCCCCACCGAAAGTCCCCGTGGCGCAGTCCGCATGCGTCTCCCCCACCCAGTACACCTCCGTCGGAGGCCGTCGGAGTTCCGCGCCTCGCTCGCCCGTCGTCGCTCTGCCCAGCGGCAAGTGCCCTGCCCGCTATCAGCCAACCAGCTAGCTCTTTTTGCTCCGCGCAGCGGATGACCCGCGCGCGTCGCTGGGACCCTTCTGGGGCGACCTGCGCGCGTCGCGGGGACTCCGCGCTGCGCTGCGCTCGCAGCCTTGGACTTTTGAGTGCGCGGGCAAAGAGGGAGTAAACGAAGGAGAGGAAGCGGGCGCGATCCTCGCGGGGGGGCGCGCCGACATTGGCGTCGCGGCGCGCGGGCGATGCCGTCGGGGAGTCCCGGGGGAACTCCTTGCGGCGGCCACGCCCAGCGTCACGAGTACTCAGAGGCAGTCGTTCTCAAATTATTGACATTCATATGCAATTACACCATGCTTTGTCATACTCGCATTCGTGCACGTAGACTCGCTCGCACGCAGATTCATACACAGTCAGACGCACTCGCGCTCAGATTCACCCGCGCTCAGTCTCCCCACGTACTCGGATCAATCGTTTTTTTTTCGCTTTGTGTACCACGCCACTCATTTCGGCACACCCTTAGCACGGTTCGTTGCCTCATAGGGATCACCACCGAAAAAATGAATCACAATTGCGGTGCCCACACTTGCATATGGTTGGGTCCTTCGTCAGGCTAATTTTGCAAGGTGTAGGGGGGGTGCCCGCATAGTCGTGGGTTTGTCGCTGGTCGGGTGGGGCAGGGGGTGTATTCTAGGCAGGGAAATGAATGAACCCCCGACCGGAGAAGGATACGTGGAATATGGAAGAGGGAACAACCCAAATCACTTCCGCCCAGAGGGCTGGTGGGATCCATTTGCAACAAACATTCTCCAGCTGCCTGCGGCAAAGCCCGCCACCGTGCCAGTGCATCAGCGCAACGTGCAGGATTCTGAGTTCAAACCCCAGTGAAACTCAGCACGCGTCTGGAGTCGAGCGGGTCTGATTCAACCTTGTTCACTCGACTGTTGGGGGCCTCTGATGGGTCATTCGGGGGCCTCTTGGAGGGCTTCTTTGAAGCTTCTTGGAGCGTTTTGGGGGCCTCTTGATCCATCTTAAAACTACGCACTTGGCCCGTTTTACGTTTTCGGATGCCGTCTTTGGGGCTTCTCTGTGCCGTCTTGGGGTATTGAGGCGCTTTCGGGCCGTCGTGAAGGTCTCAGGGGCATTCTTGGGGCCGTTGTTGGGCACTTTTTTGGGCCGTCTTGCCCTCTTGGCCTGTTTTGGAAGCCTCTGGGGCCGTCGTGGGCTGTCCGAAGCCCGAAAGGGCGGGAACGCGCAAAATACTGCAAACAGCATTCTGTCAATGCTTTTGGTTCCTGCCTTCGGTGGCTGTCTTGAGGGCCTCTCTGGGCTGTCTTGGGGCCTGCTTCTTGGAAGGTTTTCGGGCCGTCGTGAAGGTCTCTTGGGTCGTCTTGGGGCCTTCTCGGGACCGTCTGAGGGGCCTCTTGGGCCGTCTTGAGGGCCTGTCGGTCCGTCTTTGAGGCGTCTGTGGCCGTCTTGGGCTTTCCGAAGCCCTGAGAGGCGCAAATGCGAAAAACATGGCAAACCAATCGGGCATCAATGAACTTCATCTTCTTCGGGCCCGCCTGGAGGGCCTCTTGGAGCCCTACTGTCGGGGGCCTCTTGGGCCGTCTCAGGGCAATCTGGTGCTGTCTTCGAGGTATCTTGGACCACCTTGGAGGCATCCTTGAGGCCGTTTTGGATCCTCTTAGTTATCTTGGAGCTTCCTGGAGGCCCAACAAGGCGTTGGAAGGCACATCCAGAGGGTCCGTTTTCGAAGGGCGTGCACGACGAGATGGAGGGTCGGCCTTATAAAGCATCTAAGAGCTTACCAGACAACCGAGGAGCATTTTAACAAGTCCCAACGTGCCGGGGGCACGTTGGCGGATCCATCTAATGGTATGCGTAAGCCATTTACCGCATAGCTGTATTTCCACCGCCTGTGCCTTGGGCGGCCGCTGTATTTCAACCGCCTGTGCCTTTGGCGGCCGCGTCTCGGTTCCGACGCATATTAGGAAGCTCGGAGCTTTTAGCATACGCTGTAAGTTGCTCGTTTTCAGCGCCACGTCGCGCAAGGCCGCAGCCTCGAGGTCACACTCTTCTGGCATACCTCCTCTCTTGCCTGAACCCTCCGCGCGACCTTGTTTCGGCAAAGCAGCAACCCGACAACGGGGTTACAACATTTTCATTGCTCGGGCATGCTCCCGCGTATGTTGCCACACGCTTCTGTTCATCGTGGTGGGACCGCAGCCGTCTGGCTGCGACGGCACCAACGACTCGGTTGCGACGGCACCCACGGCAACTCAATGGCTGATAAGGTTGTGACAGGTTTGGTGATGTCGCTCGCGGCATTTGTGATCATCTCGATGAAATCAGGAGTACCATCCACCTCCCACTGCTCTTCTCCCCTGCTCGTCCGATTCCTCAGCTGTTCCTTTTGTTCCTGCTGCTACTGCTGCTGCTGCTCCTCTCCCTCATCCTCCAATCGGCGGCGAGCCCATGGGGGACGTCAGAGGGGGATGGGCCTTCTCAGAAGGCAATGAAGGCTTTGGGCCTTCTGAGAAGTTTTCGAATCCCTCCCTGGAGACGCAGAAACCTTCTCGGAACGCGCGAGGGCTTCTGCGCCGCCCTCTGAGGAGGCCTGCCCCCTCTCACCCCCCCCCCCCGGGCGCGCCGCCGATGCCCGCCCTCCTCCCCCGTCTCTCCCCCCTTGCCTTCCCGGCCTGGGAGGTGAGAAGCTCAGCAGTAGTCTCGCTGAGCCGTGTTCCAAGCCCCTCACCACGGCTCGGAGGCGATACCTCACCAATTTCGAGCTTGGGAGATATCCCAAGGATCAGGTTTCGAAGGTTTCGAACCGAGCGAAGGCCTCGTAGTTCGTTTCCCTTCCTTTCATATCGCACCGCGATGGAGCCCATTCCATTCCCATTCCATTCCATTCCCCTCATCTCGGGATGGGGGGGGGAGGGCCCCCTTTCCTTCCCGGCCGTGGCGCCACGGCGCGAGGGGCCGAGGAGGAGCCCCGCGCCCCCCCCCCGGGAGCAGGCCCACGCCTGGGCTCTCGGGGGAGGAGACCTCTGCCGCCTCCGGGCGGGGCCGCGGGCGGTCGTCGCGTGAGGGCCGACCCCGCACCACATCTCGGAGGGTACCAACTATACACCAACACCGATCCTGGCCAGTATCACCCTGGGCCCAGGATCGGTGTATACGCCCTCCTGCCTGGGGCAGGAGGGCATATACACCGATCCTGGGCGCAGGATTGGCCTGGCCAAGATCGGTGTAGGTGTATAGTTGGTGCCCTCCGAACATCTCCGGGTCGCTTTGGGAGGTCGCCGGGTGTGGGGCCCGGTTGTCTTGGTCAGCGCAAGTGTCTAGGCCTCCCAGATGGGGTCAGAGTAGATGGGGTCGGAAGGTCGCGCCGCATCGCCGATGCATCGGCGATGCGGCTCGATATGGGGCCCGATTTTCTTCACGTCGACGTCGCCGATGCGTCGCCGACGTCGACGATGCATTGCCAGTGCATCGCCGATGTATTGCTGATGCGCGATGCGGCGCGATCCTCCGACCGGATCTACTCTGACCCCATCTATGAGGCCTCTAAAGTGTCGGGCCAGGTCGCTGGTTGCCGTTGCCCTCAGGGGCCTGGACTTCGGGGCTCTCGCCTGCACTCGAAAGGGCACCGGGCCCGCGCTGCGGTCTGGCGGCCAGCCGCCGCCTCGTCATGGCCCGTTGTGTTGCGCGGCTTAGCCTTGCACTTGCGCCACACAGTTTGCTCCAGGTGGTTGGTTATGCATCGGGGCAAGGTTCTTGTTCGAAGAGTGTCATGCCCGTTCCCAGCCCCCCTCCCCCCGCTCTGCGATGTAGACGTGGCTCATCATTGACCGTCTAGCGACAGAGATTTGTCAACTGATGTCCAACATGGTCAGTCCTCTCTCTTTTTTTCGTGAGGGGTCGAGTATCATGCAACCAGGCAGGACGCCCCCAAAGGGCCACAAGACGGCCCGGGAGATTCCCGAAGACCCCCAAGAGGTGGCCGACGCGGGTCCCGCGGGGGCCCCGCTCGCAGCCTACGAGGGCCCCGACACTTGCGCCCCCGGGCAGCCCCAGAAGCCCTCCAGGGGGCCCGATAGGCTCCCAAGTCGGCCCCAGGAGGAGGAGGAGGAGGAGGAGGACGAGGAGGAGGACGAGGAGGAGGAGGGGAGGACGAGGAGGAGGAGGCGGCCGACGGTTGTATTCTCAGCGCTTTTCCACAATTGGGCCTGCCAGGAGTGCCCCGACTGTCTGCGTAGCACTTGGCAGCTCCACCGCTCGGCGCCCTGGACTGGCGTGCACCCCGCGAAGTCCGGGTGCGGCCAGAGGGTCACGATTCTGAGTCGCGGGATGCAGACTCGGTCCTGGGTCCAGGTGGCCTTCTTCCTGTTGCCAGACTTCCGCTCCTGGGTACTCCAGATTTCGTAATAAAGGGAGGGGGGTCTCATTTCGGGGGGGTCTCTTCCAGGCTATCTTGGAGGGCCTGGGGGGGTCTGGGGACGATGTTTTGGAGGGTTCTCCCACAGGGGGGGTCTGAAATGGCTTGTCTTGGAGGTTCCAGACCCCCTCCCTTTTATTACGAAATCTGGAGTACGGTCGCAGGATGCAACCCTCTCACGGCTGGCGGCCTTCGTGCTGCTAGAGCTCCGCTCCAGGGTGCGATTCTGAGTTGCGTGATGCAGCCCTCTTCGAGAGGGCTTGCTCCGAGCGGCTTCCGCGTTGGCAGAGCTCCGCTCCCAGGTTGGAGTCGGAGCCGCAGGAGGCAGCCCTCTCAGAGCCAGCGGCCGTGGTCCTGTTGCCAGAAATCCACTCCAGCGCACGACTCAGCGTCGCAGCACGCAACCCTCTTCGGAAACTGGAACGTGTTCATTACCAGCGGCGGCTGTTTTTCAATCCCAGGACCTTTTGAGGGTCGGGGACGACGTCGGGGTGGTACGGTGTATACTTTTTAATCCGTTCCCCAGGGGAAAGACGAGAAATGTACACACCAGGGTCCCCGAATTAACACTAGGATCCGCTTTCCTGCCCTTGCGAGCTTCAGTGCGGGGCCGGAAAAAGCGTCGGTGTACAGAGTTCGGCTACTTAACCTGCTCCATTCCCAGGACTCCACTCCCAGGACTGCACTCCACCCTCCGCCATGTTGCCAGGACTCCACTCCCAGGACTGCACTCCACTCCACTCTGTGACCTTCCGCCATGTGGCCAGGACTCCACTCCCAGGTCGACTCCGAGCTGCACTCTGCGGCCCTCCGACTGCCCGCGGCCTTCGCGCGGCCAGAGCTTCGCTCCAGGGTGCGACTCCGGGTCACGTGATGCAGCCACCTCGCTCCCTGCGGCCCTCGCGCTGCCAGAGCTCGACTGAAGGGTGGGCTTCAGGGCTACAGTATGCGACATTGGCTACTGGTTGCTCTCGTGTTGCCAGAGCTCCACTTCCACGTGCGGCGCTGAGCCGCAGGATGCCATCCTCTCGCTCCAAGCGGCCTTCGTGCTGCCAGAATTTTGCTCCTGGGTGCGATTCCGAGTCGCGTGAGGCAACCACCGTCCCACCCCCCGCGGCTCCTCGTGCGGCGGGAGGCAAGTTGAACGCCGGGACTTGTGCAAGCACTCCACTTACGGGCGGCCTGGCCAGAAGCTCCCGCGCCCCTCGGCCAGCCGGCCAGCCCATGCAGCCCAGTGCGTGTCCAGCCGGCCCAGCCAGCCCACACCAACCAACCGGCCCCAGCCAGCGGGGCCAACCTGGGCCGCTGAGCCAGCCCAGCTGGCCCCGCCCGCCTGGCCAGTGCCGCCAGCTCAGTTCGCCCATCCCAGCTGGCCCAGCCTACGGGGCGTGAAAACGACCACAGCCACTGCTTTTCTTTGCTGCCGCCTTCCAGCCCGCAGAAACAAAGCAGTGGTTGTGGTCATGTTCGTTGAGCTTGGCACCGGGGAAATGACCACAACCACTGCTTCTTTTTCGGCTGGCTGGAAGGCGGCGTAAACAAGAAGCAGTGGCTGTGGTCATTTTCCCGTCCCGCACAGCCAGCCTGGTCGAGCCCAGCTGGCTCCGCCAGCTCAGCTGGCCCAGTTGGCCCAGCGAGCCGACCCAGCCAGCCCCGCCACCACAGCCCAGTCAGCCCAGCCAGCTCAGCCAGCCTCGCCAACCGCCCCAGCCCAGCCCGCCCAACCAGCTCAGTCACCCAGGGCAGCGTGTCTTCACAGAGGAGGGGAAACATCAGCAGCACGGAAGGAGGCCGCAATATGGCCCCACAGAGCGACAGCCTAGCGAGGAGATGAGCGAGCGATCTCTCGTCGCAGAGTCCACGCTTCTCCTCCTGCGCCTCTACCTCCTCTTCCTCCCACCCGCCTCCTTTTCTTCGTCCTCGCCGTCATCGTCGTCGTCCTCCACTGCATCCTTCTCCTCCCCTGACTCTTCCCATCCCATTCCAGTTTTTGTTCACGGCTCGAAGAGGCATGCCCCCCTCCCTGGTATGCAGCATCCCTCTCTTCACCCCCTTTTCACCTCACGCCTGGCGGCATAGGGCCAGCAGCGGTACCATACGAACCTGCGCGCTCACCATGGTCGGAGAACATAGAAAGGCTTACGCAGCACTGTACGACTTTGTTGCGCGTGGCGCTCGCATGGCTTCTAACTCACCAACGTGGTGCTGCACGCGCTGGACGTCGTCGTCGTCGTCGTCTTCGTGGTCGTCATCGTCGTCACGATCATCACCGTGGTCGACGGTGTGAGTAGAAGGAGGTACGAGGGGAAAGCAAGATTTATGTAGAAGCAGTCGACGTAGTAGTGGTCGTAGTGGTTGCGGTCGTTCGTATTGAAGGTAGTCGTAGTCGTAGTCGTAGTCGTAGTCGTAGTCTTAGTCTTAGTCGTAGTCGTAGTCGTAGTCGTAGTCGTAGTCGTAGTAGTAGTAGTAGTAGTAGTAGTAGTAGTAGTAGTAGTAGTAGTAGTAGTAGTAGTAGTAGTAGTAGTAGTAGTAGTAGTAGTAGTAGTAGTAGTAGTAGTAGTAGTAGTAGTAGTAGTAGTAGTAGTAGTAGTAGTAGTAGTAGTAGCAGTAGTAGTAGTAGTAGTAGTAGTAGTAGTAGTAGTAGTAGTCGTAGTAGTCGGAGTATTACTAGTACGAATAGCAGTAGTAGACGTAGTAGAAATAGTCGTCGTAGTCGTAGTAGTCGTAGTAGTAGTAGTAGTAGTAGTAGTAGTAGTAGTAGTAGTAGTAGTAGCAGTAGTAGTCGTAGTAGTCGTAGTAGTCGTAGTAGTAGTAGTAAAACAAAGAGTAGTGTAGTCGTAGTAGTAGTAGTAGTAGTAGTAGTAGTAGTAGTAGTAGTAGTAGTAGTAGTAGGACTAGTAG